AGAAATAAATAATACCAAAGAAATAAGATATTTTATACTAATGAAAAAAAGAATAAAAAGAATAAATCGATTAGCAGCACTTTTCTGGAATAAATTATGGGAGCCGCAATTTGAATTCAAACAAAGATGCAAAGCCTACGTTCAACTTTTTTCGCTGAAGTAAAGCGTCATTTCGTATTGGCTCAGTATCTAAAATATATATAATGAAAAACTGGAAGAAAAAAATATAACAGATAAAGCTTAGAACCACTCCACATAAATGGTTTCTTTTCAGTCTGTATTTCTGATAAACGTCAGACCACTTAATAAACAGGAATTCAGGCACTTAATATAAAGAACAACCCTAATGTCAATCCTTAATCTACAAACTTTAAATTGTGTTTGACATTGGCATTGACATTAATTTTACACAACACCATCGCTGTTACGCAAGCTGCTCAAAATGGTTATAATCAGACTTAACACATATTTTCACTGCGGAAGTCTGACCATTACCATCGTTATTATTAACAGGTGGTGGGTGTTTTTGTGTCAGTTTAACGCTTATTTCCCCACTGTTTCACGTTTATACCTATGGATCCTGATCACAATTGTCTTATAATCGGTTTTTACCACGAGGTACCACTAAGGATGTTGCAGAAAAATGTTGACTAGCAGGATTTAATTACTTTTCCAGAGTACCTGCTATTACTTCCGGTTTTGATTGTCGTTTTAGTTTACAAATTATTATTTAGTTATATAGATTTACTGCACTTATATGTGTGTTTCTGTTCTTTCATACCCATTCGTTGTGATTAACACAGGTCCTCTTAGATAGTAACAAATAATTTCCAGTTCCATTAAAATAGAGGCAGCAGTTTAATTCGTATTATTAACACTCATATCTCATGTGTCAATGTTTTATTATGAAATACACATTTGTCACGTCCAGAAAACAGTTTTTGTCGAAAAACTAAGTGTATATCTTTCTTGGGTATAGAACAAATGCACGTATTTGACACTCTGAACTTATAAAATCAAGAAAACCTAATCAAATTTATTTCAAGAGCATGTGATGTGCGCATCGTAATCATATAGTATGTTTTTAATAAGGATTTTTGCTTCATTTTTCAAAAGTAACATCTTAATACTGATGTGTGCTCACTATTAAATTCCAAACTGTAGCGGCCGGACTGTAACCAAACGGATCAAATTTTAAACTTGTGCACTAAGTATGACATTCTGTATAAGCTCAAGAGCCACTTGAGACCATACCAAGGTCATGTTTAGAAAATTATAACAAAAGAAAGAAGCAGCGGTCACAGGATTTCGTTTTAACGTCAAACATACTGACTTTGAGAAATCAAATGAATTGATTTCTACATTAAACTTTCTTTTCTTTTAGTTTCAAAAAAAATATTTAACCTTGGGAAGCACTACAACTTTAAATGAACCAAACAGACTAACCAGAACATTAAAAGGTCACGTTGAGCAAATACCTTGGTTTCTTAATATTGAAATATTACAACATTTGAACTTGTTTTTCTTAGCAATTGTTATTTTTGGAAGAAGACGATGCAAGTTCACAGAGAGATTTCCGCAATAACCACAGAACGACTTCAACAAGCTGATAAACTGTAAAATCAAATGTTCGAAATTTACAAAATGATTGTTTTATACATTTTTATGGAATATTGGATCCAGGTTCATAAACATTAGATCAAGCAAATAAAGTAGTATGTAATTTTAATTTAAACACAATTCCTGTTAATAGGAAAAGCTGCGTCTTAAAAAGAAAATTATTGCCAGGCAATAACTCTATCGATTTATGAGTTTCGAACAGCGGTATACTACTGTTGCCTTTATATATATATATGGATAGCCTTAGCTATATTTGTCTCAACTTTTCGTTGGTTTTTTATTTTGGATATGCAAACACTGATAATATTCATTTGATGAATTAAATATTGATGATATTTACAATTTAAAAATTTAAACTTATCGTACATGCTTAACCACCGTACGGTTGATTGCGGACGTTGTGCGTTTTTAATTTAGACTAACTGTATACCGCCGTCTTGGAATGTAAGATAACAGTACACAATCGATCTAGTTCTTTGCTTAAATCTGTAAATATTTAGACAGATTGGCAATTAATGTGTACGGCTTTTCGTTTAAATAAAAAAAATAATAAGTGGTATATTGCATTATTTAGACTGTTTTGACAAATACTAAATATTTGTTTTTGTTCGATTCAATTTTTCAACTAAGCCATATAAGGAGTATAACTCTTACAGTAAAATGTTTATACTGAAATGATGTTGAAGTTTATTTTTTTTACTTGTAGCAAGAAAACAAGTCCGGTGATACCATTCTTTTCTTTTTATTTTCTTAAAGTATATTATAAAACCTATCTTCTCATATTTTATTTCAAAATTCTATCTCATGGATTTCTATTTATACCCAAAAAAGTGTTTTATTTTCATGATTAATCTATGACAAATTGGGCAATTTTGGACGGCTTGTAGCTTGAAAAATAGCACGGTGACCCATACTTCTGAATATAGATGTTAAAAAAGAATGGCAAAATCTCCATTTTGGCAAATTAAAAGAAAATTCTATCTGAGGAAATCTGTAACGATGATCCACCTTAAGGGATATTATAAAGAACAAGCTGTGAGGAGCCGATATATGATATCAAAAATATTCTGAGTTATGTACACAATTTGTATACAAAAATATATTATACACGTTGAATGCATGTTAAGTCATCAATATTAATTAAAGAATTCGAATTATGAAGTGTTTGCTGAGTACGGAACATGAGAAAAGCGTTATAAGAGACTGAGTTTCTAAATGCAGTATAACAATTTCGATGAAAGAGGATGATTTTGTCAGCTTCTATGGACTTAACCCCCCTTAAGAATTTACCTTAGAATTCGGTATTTTTGTTTTGAAAAATGTTTGACTCATTTCTAGTGGATCGTAAATATAAAAAAAAATAAGAAATCTGTTATCATATAATATCTGTATGAAATATTATATAAATATTATTTTAAACTGTAAACTTCTAGTATTTTAAATGTTTATCATTGGCAATATTCGAAAGTCATATACTAGTAGTACATCAAAACTTCTAAGGACAAATGGCCAGTTATATTTTTGTTGATTATAAACGTAATCCTATATCTATATGACTTTAAATGAATATGACCTATTTTACTATTTGTAACAGCCGTCTTTTTCTCATGTGAAAGTATATTTTAACTGTTATTTGCGCAGACAAATATAAAGATGCATACCATATATATAATATATAACCGTAATTGTTGATATGTGGTACTGTAATAGACTTTTTACACTACTTATAAAGATAATAATGGCCTTTTTATAAGTATATGAAAAGATGTTTTATTTTTATTGTGTATTCTCTTTTCCTGGGTTTTCACTTCGTTCATTTTAGTTGTTCGATTTATTTCTATAATGTGGAATTGTGAGAACTCAAAAGCTATCCTATCAATGCACAGTGGGCTGTTTTGTTAAATATTCTAAATTTTAAGTTTTTGGCGAGTTGTGGAATACTTTTTAGATATATCGCATACTGTTAGAAACAGTAAAATGTCTTATATATTGTAAAATAAGGAGATGTGGTATGATGGCCAATGAGCAATTATCAAGAGAATTCAAATGACGAGGATTTAAATAGGTTTCAGAAATGGGCATAATTATGACTTTTTCAAATTTTCATAACTTCATTGGTAATTGCAAACTTGTCGAAGCCATTTTGGAAAAGAACATCATATGGTATATTTTGGATTGATGTATATGGGACTTTTACCATAAAATCAATAGAATTTTTTGCTTATGTCCTTTGTCTATAGAGAGTCTATATGCCATTTTGTTATTATTTGTTGAAATAGTTATTTGTTTTATAGTGATTAAGATTATAACACAATGTTGACTGCTGTACCCCAATTTTTGACATTTTTACCTATTATGTCTGTTTGTTTTCCTAACACATTGTTATCAATATAACGGAATTATATATGACTGTCATACAAGTGAGAGGTTAAGCTAGCTATAAAACCAGGTTTAATCCACCATTTTCTACAAAAGGAAAATTAAATGTCTGTACCAAGTCAGGAATATGACAGTTGTTTTTCATTCGTTTGATATGTTTCAGCTTTTGATTTTGTCATTTGATAAAGGACTTTCCGTTTTGAATTTTCCTTGGAGTTCGGTATTTGTGTGATTCTACTTTTTACGGTGTTTATATATACTACAACTCGTTCGCCTTGCCCGTGCCTGTTGTGACCTTTTTGATTTCAACGAACGTTATCTATGTATTACTGGTAAATTATTAAGTAAATAATTAACTGTGAGTTCTATCAGATCTGTACTTAGCGTCTTTTGTTGTGTGGATGTATAAATACTCTGCCACTTCCGGTCTGTGTTTTAGGTAGATGTTTTTCTGCTTTGTATCGATATGACGAGTTACGTCTTTTTCAACTGTTTTTGATATTTTATAGTTATGTTGTACTGTTACACCACTATCCCAGGTTAGGGGAAAGTTTGGCGCTAACAAACTAGTTTAACCCCGCCACATTCTGTATGCATTTCCCAAGTCAGGAGCCTGTAATTCAGTGGTTGTCATTTGTTGCTGTATACTTTATTTATTTTTCGTTCATTGTACATAAATCAGGTCGTTAGTTTTCTCGTTTGAATTGTTTTACATTTGTCAATTCGGGGCTTTTTATAGCTGACTATGCGGTATGGGTTTTGCTCATCGGTTAAGGTCGTGCGGTGGCGTGTGGTTGTAAACTTCTATGCCATTTGATCTCTGGTGGAGAGTTGTCTTATATGCAATTCAACCACAACTTCTTATTTTTATAAGAAATGACAATTTTTATTATAGATAATATACTAATGTTGATGAAATCTCAAAGGCATATGATTGTAGAATGTCAATCTTTCTGGAATATCTAATTAGAGTGTTGGTGTACATACAGAAAAAACAGTCATATCTAATTAGTTTTTTATTTGATTAATTTAAAACAATAATTCCTCGTCGTTTATACTATAACTGTCCTCATTCAAATATTAACCAATCATTAGCAAATCTGAAAAATATAGAAATACTCATATCATTAATCCCATTATGAAATAGTTAGTAGATAGTGTTCTATAAATTTGGTCCCGACCAGTTTAGTCGCTGAATTTAGACCCTGTGAAAGTTATGGAAATTAAAAAAAATAATGATGATAATGATAGAAAACTGCTTACACCCCAGGTGCAGATAAAATGCTTTTTCAGGACGATGTATAAAAAGATGTGTACGTCAATGAGACAGTAATGAGACCCAAAACAACACAAAAAACCACACAACGTTTGGAGGTCAACAAACAGACATTTACAATAGTTATATAGTTGTATTCGATATCATGACAAGCTCTTAGACTAACTCGTCTAATTATAAAACAAGAAGATATGTGGTATGACTGTCAATGAGACAACTACCCACCAAGTCTAACTGAAGCTGATTCAAGCAACTGAGGATCGCAATACGGCCTAGAATAATGCGAAACCCCCATACTGTATAGCCAGCTATAAAAGGCTCCGATGTGAAATAATGAGAAACAATTTAAACAAATAGGCCCAACGATTTGTTTATAACCAACAAGTCTTTAAATTAATGAATAAATCAAACAGAAACTAGGAAAAGATTTGCGATCAAAACCAATTGTTTACGCTTGTAAAACATGTTTAACACCGCTGCTTAATTTGGTGTTTGTACCTAACGAGACTATCATGATTATGTGTGTTTCGTAGTTGCTTGTCTTTGTTTGTATTTCTGGTATATGATTGATTGATTGATTGATTAGTGATTAACGCAACTTTCAAAACTATTGTGCTATTTCGTGGCAGTCAGTTTTTATTGGTAAAGGAAGCCGGAGTGCCTGGAGAGAACCACCGACCTTCGGTAGGAAAACTGACAATTGTAGTCAATTAAGATTGGAGTCACACACATATTCCACGTGCCGGATTCGAACTCACAACCTCAGTGTTGACAGGCTAGTGATACAGTAGTTCGACCCCTTAGACCACATAGACAGCAAGGCCCCTTTCGGATGTATGAGTCGGGTATCTGTGGTTGTGTGATATGTGTAGTCGTCCAATATCATTGGTTATTCCTCTTATCCTCGGGTATTTGTGGTTGTGAGATCTGTGTAGTTTTCCAGTATCATTGGTTAATCCTATTATCGTCGGTTATCTGTGGTTAATTGATCTTTGTAGTTGTCCAATATCATGGATTATTCCTGTTATCCTTGGGTATCTGTGGTTGTTTGATCTTTGTAGGTGTCCAGTATCATTGGTTATTCCTATTATCCTCGGGTATCTGTGCTTGTGTGATCTGTGTAGTTGTCCTGTATCATTGGTTGTTCCTATTATCCTCGGGTATCTGTGGTTGTGTGATCTGTGTAGTTGTCCAATATCATTGGTTATTCCTGTTATCCTCGGGTATATGTGGTTGGGTGATCTGTGTAGTTGTCCAGTATGATTGGTTATTCCTGTTATCCTCGGGTATCTGTGGTTGTGTGATCTGTGTAGTTGTCCAGTATCATTGTTTATTCCTATTAACCTTATTATTTACTATTATTTTACATATGTAGTATAGTTTTTTAAACGGATTTGCTTTGAATGTATCCAACCATTAATTGACTGTCATTTTTATTTTCGAATGATGAAAGTCTATAGGAGCAGGAAATTATTGGATGTATACGAAAAACGGTTTTACAAAAAAACCCGAGATGGTATTAAATGAAAATTAAGACAAGCATACGCTATGAAGCTTTTTTATATCTAAAAAAAATCCTTTGCTATGAAGATTGTTTCCTGTTATACAATTCTTTCATAGTGAGCAATGATGAGCGGATTTCGAACCTTTAAAAGGACACCCTGATAATTCGGCTCATAACAACTACACAGGTACAATAGCTACGGAAGTATGATGGACGTTATGATAAACGTCCGTAAAACATCCGTATCACGGACGTTTTACGGAAAAAAAGTACCACGTCCGTTAAAAAGATCTTCTGTATTACAGACGTTCTAAAGCATCCGATTTACGGACGTTTTTTTAAACGTCCGTATTACTATCATGTTGTATAGTTTAGATGAACTAAAAATGAAATTGAGTCGATTTCTATATGTGTATAGAACTGTACTGACTTGATTTATGACACACCTTTCTTAATTTGTCTGTTTATAACATCTTTGAATTTTAAAGAAACTGAAGTTGACCATAGATGGATTTGGGTATTATCTTTAGTTCTTTTTCGGTCATAAAGCTCTTCATCTGGTTCGCTTCTGATACATCCCTGCTTTCAAATATTCGGCGCTGAACGTTGTTAGTTAATTTAAATCCAGAAAAGCCCTTCGGACGCATGAAATTTATAAAGTGTTGTTTTCATTTTTTTATAGAATTTTAAAATATAACAAATAGTTCAAGGGTATTGTTTAAAACAGTGGATACGTTTGGGAGTGTCACAATATGGAATGCAAATTTGTGTTGTTTATCAAAGTTCTGCTCGTTTCCGTACCTATTAATAACTTAAAAGATTTAAAACAATTAAAACATAATCACGCGCCAATTGTTGAAACACAAATTTAAAAAAATAAATCACCAATAACAAAGTATATTATAGAACAATAAGAAAATCCACCAAAATGACATATGGCAGTACTTCTCCTTAACTACAAGTATTAAAGAAGACATAAAGACAACAGTAGGAAAATCAGCAAGAAGAAAATAACTTTACAAATCAATATAATAATCAAAATACTAATAACTCGAAACACTTTTTCTGTCTTTGGCATTGGTGCAGACAACCGTTCTGGTATCCATTTTGTCTAGATTTTTAGTAAAAACATCATAGAAATATGGGACGATGATCTGGTCGAAGCAGTGAACATAATGCAGACATTCGCCCAAAATTAATTACAACTCACCAGGAAGACAACAGATTTGTCCAGCAAAACACAGCAAACATAGACAGCAAGGCCCCTTTCGGATGTATGAGTCGGGTATCTGTGGTTGTGTGATATGTGTAGTCGTCCAATATCATTGGTTATTCCTCTTATCCTCGGGTATTTGTGGTTGTGAGATCTGTGTAGTTTTCCAGTATCATTGGTTAATCCTATTATCGTCGGTTATCTGTGGTTAATTGATCTTTGTAGTTGTCCAATATCATGGATTATTCCTGTTATCCTTGGGTATCTGTGGTTGTTTGATCTTTGTAGGTGTCCAGTATCATTGGTTATTCCTATTATCCTCGGGTATCTGTGCTTGTGTGATCTGTGTAGTTGTCCTGTATCATTGGTTGTTCCTATTATCCTCGGGTATCTGTGGTTGTGTGATCTGTGTAGTTGTCCAATATCATTGGTTATTCCTGTTATCCTCGGGTATATGTGGTTGGGTGATCTGTGTAGTTGTCCAGTATGATTGGTTATTCCTGTTATCCTCGGGTATCTGTGGTTGTGTGATCTGTGTAGTTGTCCAGTATCATTGTTTATTCCTGTTAACCTTATTATTTACTATTATTTTACATATGTAGTATAGTTTTTTAAACGGATTTGCTTTGAATGTATCCAACCATTAATTGACTGTCATTTTTATTTTCGAATGATGAAAGTCTATAGGAGCAGGAAATTATTGGATGTATACGAAAAACGGTTTTACAAAAAAAACCCGAGATGGTATTAAATGAAAATTAAGAAAAACATACGCTATGAAGCTTTTTTATATCTAAAAAAAATCCTTTGCTATGAAGATTGTTTCCTGTTATACAATTCTTTCATAGTGAGCAATGATGAGCGGATTTCGAACCTTTAAAAGGACACCCTGATAATTCGGCTCATAACAACTACACAGGTACAATAGCTACGGAAGTATAATGGACGTTATGATAAACGTCCGTAAAACATCCGTATCACGGACGTTTTACGGAAAAAAAGTACCACGTCCGTTAAAAAGATCTTCTGTATTACAGACGTTCTAAAGCATCCGATTTACGGACGTTTTTTTAAACGTCCGTATTACTATCATGTTTTCATTTATCATAAAAGTTAAAGTTTTTGACATCCTGTCATGAATTAAGGGTATACTGCCCTACAAATTTAACATGAACTTGTCTTTTGGGTTTTGGGGTTTATGGTTTGCTGTCTCGTAGTAAAAGTACTATGTATGATGTATCTATGAAGATCAACACAAGTCAATGTCATACATATATCGAGCGATATGCGTAAATCGCATGAATTTCACAAGTGCTTTTCATAGTATTTTTATACGTGTATATATATATATATATATGTATCACATATTGTAAATATTGTACACTAAAAAAAATACGCATAAAAGAGGGACGAAAGATACCAGAGGGACAGTCAAACTCATAGATCGAAAACAAACTGACAACGCCATGGCCAAAAATAAAAAGACAAACAGACAAATAATAGTACAGATGACACAACATAGAAAACTAAAGACTAAGCAAAACGAACCCCACCAAAAGTATGATAAAATCCTGATATATATCACATTTATAAGTAAACTAAAAGACATGATTTACATACACATTTAAAATGTATATGGCAAATATCTGCATTACGCACAGAAGGATTTACATCGTTGAGACAGCAACCCAATTACAAAAAAACTAAACAAACAATATATAAAAGTCAATATACAGTCTTCAACAATAGACAGGTGTCTATACAATATGCCAATCTCTTAATTGTCACAAGTCTATTAAAGGTTGAAAAGATCAAACAGAAAAAATCGAGATGAGCTGTCAACAACAAATACTCCAAATAGAAGGAAACAAAACACTAATATATGACAAACTTATCAAACAACCACTGACTAGCTTCCTGGGCAGTGAAATTAATATGTGACAGGGTTAACTTACCTTTTAATTCATCCAAAAGAAGAAAATACCAAAAAAGAAAATAAAAAAAGTTTTTGTAGTATATCGCCAGCAAAGACTAATTAATGAGAAATGAGAATAAGTTTCACATTGGTGATGTACAAAGGTCTTGTTGGTAGACCTTGTGTAAAATTGCTTTTTTTTTAAATGAATGTGTTGACATAGACTACATACATTATAGGACTATAATATACTTGGCCCAACAAATTCGGCAAATACAGAATCGGACTATAAGACGAACTTTATGTAAGATGAAGTATACAATTTTGTATAGTTTAGATGAACTAAAAATGAAATTGATTCGATTTCTATATGTGTATAGAACTGTACTGACTTGATTTATGACACATCTTTCTTAATTTGTCTGTTTATAACATCTTTGAATTTTAAAGAAACTGAAGTTGACCATAGATGGATTTGGGTATTATCTTTAGTTCTTTTTCGGTCATAAAGCTCTTCATCTGGTTCGCTTCTGATACATCCCTGCTTTCAAATATTCGGCGCTGAACGTTGTTAGTTAATTTAAATCCAGAAAAGCCCTTCGGACGCATGAAATTTATAAAGTGTTGTTTTCATTTTTTTATAGAATTTTAAAATATAACAAATAGTTCAAGGGTATTGTTTAAAACAGTGGATACGTTTGGGAGTGTCACAATATGGAATGCAAATTTGTGTTGTTTATCAAAGTTCTGCTCGTTTCCGTACCTATTAATAACTTAAAAGATTTAAAACAATTAAAACATAATCACGCGCCAATTGTTGAAACACAAATTTAAAAAAATAAATCACCAATAACAAAGTATATTATAGAACAATAAGAAAATCCACCAAAATGACATATGGCAGTACTTCTCCTTAACTACAAGTATTAAAGAAGACATAAAGACAACAGTAGGAAAATCAGCAAGAAGAAAATAACTTTACAAATCAATATAATAATCAAAATACTAATAACTCGAAACACTTTTTCTGTCTTTGGCATTGGTGCAGACAACCGTTCTGGTATCCATTTTGTCTAGATTTTTAGTAAAAACATCATAGAAATATGGGACGATGATCTGGTTGAAGCAGTGAACATAATGCAGACATTCGCCCAAAATTAATTACAACTCACCAGGAAGACAACAGATTTGTCCAGCAAAACACAAGTGATATTGATCATAACGGTAAAATTCAGGACAGGGTAGGCTCAACATGCATTTTCCTTCATGTCTGGCGCAAGTGTGGTTTGTACCATCTATAATATGAAATTATATGAGGTAGATTAACATGCAGTTAAGATAAAGGGGAGCGTAAACATCAATTATTTCAGAGGAATTTAATAAGTTTACCAGTATGAGTTTGAATATTCCTTTGGTCTTTCGCCTCTTTTTTATTGTTTTATTTATATTCGCTGTTTTAAAATTTTGAATCATTTCCAATTAAGGTATGTATCTCCCTGATTCTAAGTTCTTATTGCTTGTCCAGGTTTGGCTTTACCTTTTGGTATTTTGGGGTGTATCACCTCTTCAACGTTTGTATTAGGTTTTGGACTTTATGATATTTGTGCCTCGAGCATCACTGAAGAGACATTAATTATCGAAATGCACATCTAGTGAAGTAAAATTGGTACAGTCAATGTTATATTAATTAAAATGTTAAATTACTCTAACTACTAAAGGTCTTTTTACTCAAGGCATGGATTACCTTAGCCGTATTTTGCACAACTTTTCGGAATTTTCGGTGTTAATGCTGTTCAACTTCGTAAACGAAAACAGTGTATACAATATATGTTGTTTTCATTTTTTATAGAATTTTAAAATATAACAAATAATTCAATGGAATTGTTTAAAACAGTGGATAAGTTTGGGAGTGTCACAATATGGAATGCAAATTTGTGTTGTTTATCAAAGTTCTGCTCGTTTCCGTACCTATTAATAACTTAAAAGATTTAACTCAATTAAAACATAATCACACGCTAATTGTTGAAACACAAATTTAAAAAAATAAATCACCAATAACAAAGTATATTATAGAACAATAAGAAAATCCACCAAAATGACATATGGCAGTACTTCTCCTTAACTACAAGTATTAAAGAAGACACAAAGACAACAGTAAAAAAATCAGCAAGAAGAAAATAACTTTACAAATCAATATAATAATCAAAATCCTAATAACTCGAAACACTTTTTCTGTCTTTGGCATTGGCGCAGACAACCGTTCTGGTTTCCATTTTTTCTAGATTTTTAGTAAAAACATCATAGAAATCTGGAACGATGATCTGGTCGAAACATAATGCAGACATTCGCCCAAAATTAATTACAACTCACCAGGAAGACAACAGATTTGTCCAGCAAAACACAAGTGATATGGATCATGATGGTAAAGTTCAGGACAGGGTAGGCTCAACATGCATATTCCTTCGTTACTGGCGCAAGAGTCGTATGAATCACCTATAAGATGAAATTGTATGATGTAGATTAACATGTAGTTAAGATAAAGGGGAGCGTAAACATCAATTATTTCAGAGGAATTTAATAAGTTTACCAGTATGAGTTTGAATATTCCTTTGGTCTTTCGCCTTTTTTTTATTGTTTTATTTAAATTCGCTGTTATGAAATTTTGAATCATTTCCAATTAAGGTATGTATCTCCCTGATTCTAAGTTCTTATTGCTTGTCCAGGTTTGGCTTTACCTTTGGGTATTTTGGGGTGTATTACCTCTTCAACGCTTGTATTAGGTTTTGGACTTTACGATATTTATGCCTCGAGCATCACTGAAGAGACATTAATTATCGAAATGCACATCTGGTGAAGTAAAATTGGTACAGTCAATGTTATATTAATTAAAATGTTAAATTACTCTAACTACTAAAGGTGTTTTTACTCAAGGCATGGATTGCCTTAGCCGTATTTCGCACAACTTTTCGGAATTTTCGGTGTTAATGCTGTTCAACTTCGTAAATGAAAACAGTGTACACAATATTTTGCATCTTTATTTGTCAAAAATATCACACGACACAACTGGGTCATGATTTCTAACAGCATGACACCTATGCTATCTTTTATGTAAAATCTGTTTTGATATAAGAATATAGAATTTTTAAAAATTGCTCTACTAATATTAACAGGTCAACAGAGAATATACATGTATGTCCCTCTTGCAAAGCTCTGCAACCTTGTTTCCGAATTTGGCTATACTTTATGTCCTTTTCGTTTGATCTGCTCTTCACCGTTTGTATTTGTTTTGGATTTCAAATATGTCGGCCTTGATTTTCACTGAAGAGATATTAATTGCGCTTCTGGTGCAGTAAAATTGGTTCCGTTAATGTTATTACAGGCCTAAGTCATCTTGCCATAATTATAACACTGAAACAAAACTGAAATGTAATTTCCTAAACATAACAGTGCATCATTTTGAAATGAGATGATCTCAGTAAATTCAAAACAATAGGAGAGTTGAAAACAAAACAGATGCACACAATAAAAATATACTCGTGGTGTTAATATATTAATTTAAAACGAAAAAATAATGAAACGTATCAAACACAATTTACCTGGGTGTGACATCGCGGTCACCACTAGGGTTATAAACAACAGTATCTGGATACCTCTCATCTTGTATGGCTGTAATCTGGAATATGGCAGCTGATTTATATCATGTAAAAGTGCATTTATACAGATGTTTCTTCAATCATATATAAGAATTAAGAAGAAATGAAATAGGGATTTGAATATTTCACTCTCATTAGGACAAATGTTGTTGAAATTACAATAACAAAAAATAGTTACTAATATTAATTTTTTTAGAACACACCGCATTATGTAATATAATGTTTCTTTAAAGAGATTTTCATTTTCCAAACGTTAACGAATTAAGAATAACGACAAAATAAGTAGCTAAATTTATCATTGGAATTCATTATTATTTATTCAAATGTAACTAAATCCATGTATCTTAGTTTTAGCATTAATACGATTAATTCCTAACAATTCCTTTTCAATCAAAAACGTTTATAATTTTGGTTTAAGTTCGCACTCAAACTAAGTTGAATTCAAACATACATTTTCACTAGTAGTTATTTAATACCAGAATTATGCAACTAGTACTGTAATACAAAGTCAGTCATGAAAAAGATTGAATTCTAAAACTCGAAGAGCATATAAAATCGTATTCGATATCCACGCTGAATTTTTGAGAATTGGTGTCTTATCAGATGATATATGGGAATCCAATTGAATTTACCCATTTATTTGTTGATTTAATAGAACAACAAAGGATATGGGGTATCCATCCATGACACAAAATCAGTAAATGCACAACAAAAAAACATACAAACAGCAAAGGAACAGCGCTTTTATTGCTGTTCTTCATCTCAAAGTCACAGTGAGAGCACGGAGCAAAAAAAAACCTCTCACCTCACTGCAAGTTTAAGACGGCCCCTAGGCCTGTTGAGATTTGATATAATATTAAATAGGTAACAGAAATAACCAACAACTGAACAAATCAACCACCGACACCCGAATCAATTGGGGAAAAAAATCCAGGAGGCTGTAGTTTAGTGGTTGTCGTTTGTTCATGTCTGTCATATTTATTTTTCGTAAATTGTTTTGTTATAAATTAGGCCGTTAGTTTTCTCAATTGAATTCTTTCATATTTTTCATGTCGGGGCCTTTTATAGCCGACTATACGGTATGGGTATTTCTCATTGTTGAAGGCCGTACGGTTGCCTATAATTGCTTACATCCACTTCATTTGAACTTTGGTGGATAGTTTTCTCATTGGCAATCATACCACATCTTCTTATTTTTTATATACAAACAAAAACAAGTGACTAATGGTCTAGATAGCCTGACTTAATAAAGGGTTGCTGATAACAAGAAAGCTATTTAACCATGCGTTTCAAGTGGTAAAGTTGAAATCATCTCTTTGAAAATTTTATGGACGCCATCACAAGTTGGTTGGCCGTTATAGAATATCTGTTTCACAGGGGACGACGAATATGTTCAAATTGTCGTAACCACAATCCCGACCTACCGAATTAGACTGATCCCCGGGTTTGTACTTACATGAGCAACAAGACGGATGCCACATGTGGAGCTGCTTATCCTTCCGGAGCACTTGAAATCACCCCCAATTTTTTGTGGGTTCGTGGTTTTTTTTATCGTTTTTCGTTTTTTTGCCATGGCATTGTCAGTTTGTATTCGACTATCACTTTGGTATCTTTCGCCTACCATTTAATGAGCTCTAACCCCCCACCCCCACCCCCACCCCCACCGTTTTGCACATTATAGACCGTAATTGATCAAAGAAAACACACAAGAAAAATCTGCACAGTGCAGCTACAAACAGGACAACCACTAACTTGAACATGGAAATGAAAGGCACCACATTATTGAGAAAGCAAGGTCAAATTTAAATTGCTATTGTTGGAAGAGCTAAAGGAGCTATTGATCACTCAAGAAATTAACAATTCAGAGACAACACTTCCTACAGGTTTCGAAAAAGTTTATGATTACTAGGAAAGTTAATAATAATCTATGGACAAATTTGTCTCTTTAACACACATAAGACTACAAGAACTCCAACTTGCAGATTTAAAAAGAATTTTATGTTATTATTTAAAAATTTATCTCTATATATGTGATATGGTTATCGCTTTATGTTCAGAACGGAAACCCTTGCTGAGAGGAAGAGTCAGTTTGGCCTCACGTACGTTAGGAATGGAAACATACACATTGCCTCTGACAATGAGAAATAAGTAGATGTGGTAATGCCAATGAGACAACTCTCCATCTAAGTCACAATATGTAAAAAGTAAACAATTATAGGTCAAAGTACGGCCTTCAACACAGAACCTTGGCTCACACCGAACAGCAAGCTATAAAGTGCCCCAAAATGATTAGTGTAAAAACAATTCAAACAGGAAAACCAACGGTCTAATCTATATAAAAAACGAGAAACGAGAAACACTTAAGGACACAACCACTAAAACAGGTTCCTGCCTTAGGAGAGGTGCAAACAAATTCAGCAGGTTTAAACGTTTTAACAGGCGCCAACCTTCACCCTAACCTGAAATAGTAGTGTAACTTTACTACATAGAAAGACACACTATAAAACATCAATTGAAATGGCTTAACTCAATCAAAAAGACATATTAACAAAAAAAAGTAAACATACACTGAACGAATAAATTTGATCTATGACACACTGTCAAAAAGACAACTATAACCTTGGACAAAATGGCGTTAAATGAAATAACGTACACAGGTAACTTTAAATATAAAAAATTGTTTGTTAGTAGTACGGAGATATTTTTTACAAAATAAATATATTGTTGTTCATAGTACTAGAATAGAACTTACATTAAATTACAATTGATAAAAAAAGAAAAAAAGATCAACGGTTGAATGATATTTTTTTTTTAAATCACTGACTATAATAAACGTAATCCTGCTAGGTCATATTATTTCTCTTTACGTAAGTAATATCTGGATTTATGGAAATTATTACCTTTCACAAAGGTTTAAATAGATTTTCAGTCAGCATTGAAAAAAAAAGGATTTATTTTTTGAACAGAGATATGTAGATATTACATAGAAAATATAGAAAATGAAGATCCACCTACAAACAGGGAAGGATTTTCCTTACGTCCAGTGGCAAATTTGTAATGCTTAATCAGCACCAGACTAATTAACAATAAATTATATAGGCATGCTCTGCAAAATTGATTGTCCAGGATGACGAACTTTAATTTCAACTGCCATTGTCAAATAGAGTGTTGGATAGGGACGGAAATTTTACCTAGCAACAGGCGCCATGCAGATTCTTCAAAGAGATGTTGAAAGGACTCTTTTACCTTTAGAAACCTGGCACTTCCTATATGATGCATCTGATTTTAATGTTTCTTTTCCTATATCCGACGTGACTGCGTATTTATACATCCGAAACAACCAAACGGACACTCCTCTCAGCAAGAGTTTCAGTTCTGAAGGAGAAGTCAAAGGATAACAATATTTATATTTTTATTTTATTTTACTCATGTCAACTCTTTTATGTAAGAGACAACAGCTTCCAGTTACCTTAAGCACACATGATAAAAAAAAAAGTAATTATAAAATTCTTTTATTTTCTTAATGTTCGTCTGTATTGATATGTTCACCGTACTGTTAATTCACTTTTTCGACTTATAATTTGTATTACCCTATTGATAGTAACACCCTTTTTGAGAGTATATATATATATCTCTTGTGTAACAATATCGCTCGAAATGTTTTATAAAATTGATAGATGAATAAATTTGTAAAGGACTGAATATTTCATTAATTTCAAATGACAATTTCTTTATCCAGTGTTGATGTATCTATGTGTTTTACATTTTAGAGAAATTTATGCTATTTTTTTACCTTTTTCATTTTAGAAAGAGATTAGCTTTTATATACCGTATCATTATACTTGTCAACTAAACATCATCATGTCTAATATAAAAAAGAGGATGTGGTATGATGGCCAATGAGACAACTCTCCACAAGAGACCAAATGACACAGAAATTAACAACTATTGGTCACCGTACAGCCTACAGCAATGAGCAAAGCCCATACCGCATAGTCAGCTATAAAAGGCCCCGAAATGACAAATGTAAAACAATTCAAACGAGAAAACTAACGGCCTAATTTATGTACAATTAATGAACGAAAACAAATATGTAACACAGCAACAAACGACAACCACTGAATTACAGACTCCTGGCTTATGTTTAATATTAATTGAACTGAAAATAGTGCGTCCCATTAACGGTTAATACATAAAGTACAATGTATGAAGACGACATGAACCATTATACTGACGGACTTTAAAAACGCAACACTAAATTATTCTTTTTGATTTTCATTTTTAGATATGCAATACTCCTAAAATAAATATATAAACATAAATTATATTTATTACTTCATTGTCTAAATTAAGTTTGCAGTTCGAAAATTGAATTGATTACGTCACGTTTAATGTTTAAATCGTTTGGTATGCACTGAAACCGAGGTTTTCTCCTTATCATTGAATGTGTCACTGTCGAAGGCAATGACTGCTTGTAGTCAACACCTAATTGATTGACAGAAAAGTCAATCAGTTCAATTTGGCATGTTTCGAGTTTTTGGTTGCATTCAATAATGTATATTTTGAGTACTGAACGTATAGCTAGCCCAGCCGCTTAATAGACCTAGTTAGCTTCAAATAATCATGATATCAAAAGAATCTAAAATGGCGTCGGAAAAGTTATTACTCTTGACGTCATCTTGTTAGGCTAGCTATGTAGCATATCGTTTAAGAAAGATAGATATCCAAGCCATAGCAGCTAGTATTAGCAGTTATACTAGCTGCTACGATATTGAACGCAATCCCGTTTTGTTCCTTCTGATTTGGCCTCAATCTCACCCATAGCAGTCTGTTTTGGCAATAATGAGATTTAAACTGTAGGCCTTAAAATGTGGATTCTATGGCATTTGAGTTTATGGGAAATATTTATGACGTGAATCTGCCTGCCATGACAACCGACGACTTGGTTAGCAGATGACGTTGCGTAATGAAATTTATTAACATGGTGTTGTCATTACAGGTTGATCTGGTCTTTGCGGGTCATTAACAATTTCCTTCTGCCTGTACCGTTGTTAAAAAAGACTGTA